AGATTTCTATACCAGCCTCCTAACTGCTCTCCCTGTATCCATTCTTGCCCTATTTGAATCCATTCATCTCACCACAGCCAGTGATCCTTTAAAAAATAAATCTGATGTAACTCTCCTGTTCACAGGATAAAGTTCAAAATACATATAAGGCACAGAAAGCCTTTTAGGATTCAGCCCTTGCCTTTTCTCCAGCCTTATCTGCCATTTAACCATTTTAAACCTCAATTTCCTCATCTATAAAATGAAGATCACATACTACCTCACAAGACTGTTCAAAAGATAATTTATGAAAAACCTTTAGCACCTGGACATACTATGAGTTCAACAAACTGAATATTACTATCACTACCCTTCTCCCAATCCCTAATTCTGCCTTTATGAAGGTCATCTGACATTTTTAGAATGTCTTACTTCCCACCATTGTCCTGTTAGTGCTAATAAGGCCAGGTAACAATTATTCTCATCTTACCTAATGTACTCTCTTCTGGGAAGCTCAGACACTACCTGGTTTGTCCCACTCTTGGCGTTTATCTCCAAAGGACATACACACAAACTAGGGGGCTCTGTTTTAGAGAATATATTGTTTGTGTGATGCAGGAAGAACATACAGGCCTTTTTTATACTCAGACTATCACAGAGCCTGTGGAATTAAAGAGAATTCCATAATATCCTGTAATTTCTATAAATCCACCTAAAAATTGAAGCATTAAAAAAAGAAAAAAAAACAGCTCAGAAAAAAAATTAAAAAGTTAAGATAGACTTACTTGGTGCACACCACATGGGTAATAACATCTCTATGCATGTAACTGCGCTCATACATGGATGCACTGGGGAGATTGTCAAGATAAACTCTTTCAAACTCTAGAACTTAGGAAAAAAGTAAAGTAAAAAATTAACTTTTAAGATAAATGGAGCTAAATGCTAGTTTGTATTTTCTTTATTTCAAATATTTTAGAGTCTATCTTGTATTTTCTTCTAGATTTTAATTGTTTTCAATTTCCATGTAATGATGAAAAATATCCAGTGTCTGCTACATCAGTGGTAATTTTTGTTATAGTACTGAATAGCACCATTATTTAGTCAGTCATGACAGGTTCTTGGGTATTATGTAGATGTTTAACTTATCCCTAGGACTTAAGTGGATATGGCTTAATATGAAGGCATCACTAAAACAGGAAAAAAAAAAAGTCTTAAGGTTTCATGAAAATCTTTCTAATCATGTACATCCAATTGTTAGTACTAAATAATTAAGGAGATCAGTAGTCATCTATAACCTGTCTCAGTTTATCTTTAAGGCACTGATCTTCTTAGAAGTTAATGATTCTGGATTTGAAACTTTTAAACACAATAGAATGCTTAGATTTTTAGAGCAGAGAAAACCCTAAAGATGATCAAGTTGAATGCTTCTCAAATTTTTTTCCAGGGGCAATCTAACTACCACCAAGAAATACTGATTCCATTATATGAGCTATGAACAATTTTACTAGCAAAAAATGACATTATGTGTGTACCAAATAATCCAACCATGGCCAAATATGCCTATAAATTAAACACGATGAGCGTTTCAGAGTTTTTCATAACTGTTCTAAAGCAGACTTGAAGTTGTCTCCTACAAACTATTTTCCCCCTCATTTTTAGTAACAGAACCTCCATGTTTATACGGGTATGTATATTAATTTCAAGCTATAAGATGACCTTTCTCACCCTCTCATGAAGTTAGGTGTGACCATGTGCCTAACTAAGTTCAGGCCAGTGAGATAAAAGTGGAGGTGCTGTGTGATAGCCAGGAAGTTCTCCTTAAAAAGAAGGTACACCCTTTTTCTCTTTCTCAATCCTATACCTTGGAATTGGGGTATGATCACTGTAATTCTAACAACCACTCAGGACAATAAAGATGAGGGTCATACCCTACTGATGTTAGGACGGAAAGCTGTAAAGAGCCTAGGAGCCTGCTGACTTTGGAGCCTCCGTATCAATCCTGGACTGCCTACCTTGGTACTTCTTTTACATATGAGAGAAGCATACCTCTATCTTTTTAAAACCTATTATCATTTTGGCTTTTTCTGTGATATGCAGCTAAATTTAATCCTGCATGATACATATTCCTTTTGCTGTTTGTTGGTTTACTTATTGAACAAATATTTTATGAGAACCAAATAGGACATGACATCAAGGAAAATAAGACATAGTTCCCATCCTTAAGAAACAATCAATTCAATTAAAGGCAGTGCCATATATTCATATATAATGTCTTTCTGAAAATGTGTAAAAAAGCCCAATGTCCAAAGTTCATGGTGAAGAGGATGGCTCTATTTCTAGAAAGCTAAAAATGTTAAACTCCTATACTTTTGGACAAAATCTTCAATGATATTTTTCTAGCATTTCATATATGTTTTTTAATTTCAAGTTTTCTTCAAACTGAATACAGTACTGACTGGCTGAGATCCAACGAGCATCTGATTAAGGACATTTGCACACCTGATTTCCATCTTTGTCTCAATTATATTAAGTTTATGAAATCTTTACCTCTTAACACTAATATCAGACTTTGACTGTTGATTTTTCAATTTTTTCCCATTTCAGTTCCATAAAATAAGGACATACAAAAATACTCAAGTGCAGTAAAACAATTAACAGCATAACCACTATTTATTCACTAAAAAAATACTTATTGAGCAACTGCTATATGCAAAGCACTGTATCAAACACTGCAGAAAACAGGCATGCTCCTTGCCTTTACGGTGCTTACAGTCTTAGAAATGGAGAGAAACACTACTCAGACAATCACATGGATAAATACACAACTACAAATTGACAAGTGCAATGAAGGGAAAAAACATTTTAAAAATTAAAAAAAAAAAAAACAGGAACACCTGGCAGTAAAAAAATGTACTTCAAGGGTGTTAATGTACAATGTTAAAAAAAGCAGCTTCTCCAAAATTTAGATAAAATGTGGGGGCTATTTATAAATTCAGTGTGATAAATATTACTTCAGAGTTATATGAAGGTGCCTTAGAAGCCCAGCCCAGACTGGAGAAGTCATAGGCTTCCCAGAGGTGACAGCTGAGCTGAGCACTAAAGGTTGAACAAAAGGTAGCCCAGTAAAAAGGATGAGGAAAATTATTCCAGGCAGAGACACATGATACTTGGGCAGGCATCTGAGGAGGAAAAGAACATGGCTTATTCTCAAGTGGTTTAGTATGGCTGGAGCACAGAGTAAGGAGGAAAGAAAGAAATGGAAGATGTGGCTGGGGAGGTAAGGAGAGATCAGATCATAAAGAGACTTGTAAGCCATGTTAGGGAGTTTGGACTTTATTTTGAAAGCAGTAAGAAACAGTTTTAAGTAGGGGGAGAGTGATACAGTAACATTTAAGTCTGGAAAGATCACATTTTAATGGTCTTAAACATTTCACAGAAATACATGGAACACAAGAAAATTTAATCTATCTTTTTCCCCACCTCTTTTATTTGATCAAAATTTGTCAGTATTCACTTTAGTGGCAAATGCTCTGGTCCATGGTAGCTCATAAATATGGTCTGAGAATCACAGACCTTGGATTTTAGATGAACGAGCTTGTGATCCAGGAAACTTAAGTAACTTTCCCCAGGTCAGAAAACCCATTAGTGGAAGAGTCAGGGTTGAAGTCATCTTTATTTACCAGTTACAGTATTAAATATGCACTGCCTTCCTTCCGCCCCCAACACACTAACACTTCTGAGTCAGATTCCATATGAAGCCTTAGGGAGCGCCCCAGTACTCTCTCCAACCTGCAATGCAGGGCTGGAAATTCCAACTTCATATGGCTGCTGCTGGGATTAAATGGGGCCGTCAAACACATAGTTAAGTACAGTATATCCCTTTTTGAAAGTTTGCTTTATGCCACTTCACTTTTCCAAAAAGACCTACACTAGTACCTGTTTTCACTAACCCAAAGAAATCCAAAGAGGATTTTTGCTTTCAGGAAAAAAGGCAAAATGCTGAGAAGTGGAAACAGTGTTCAGTATTTGTTTTGCAGCCAGCGTTAAAGAGGTAGCGTGCACCCCGTGCAGCAAGAGTCGCGTTGCAAAGCTCCTTTCCCAGGAACTACATTAGGCATTCCTGCTTTTACTATATGTTAATGTTATTTTAGGTTTTACGTGTTATTTAGTATGATTTGGTAGGTTATTTTTTGGGTGTTGGAACACTCAAAAACTTCCCATATAAATTAATGATAACTGCTTCTTCGCTTTATGCCATTTCGGCTTTACTAAAAGTTTCATAGGAATGTTCCACTTTCGGATGGCTGGGAAACCTGTACAGGTAATGCTCGTGTTAGCATCTATTATAAAAAAAATTTAAAAAAATCAGTGATCAGTAAGTGTTAGACATCATCAAAAAGTCGCTGTACCAAGCCCAAATCACTATAGAAATTACAGCGTATATAAAATGTACATAAACTATACACATTTTCCGAATACAGTATACATTTTCAGAAAGACATACATGAATATATGGCACTACTTTTAACTAAACGGATTGTTTCTTAAGGGCAAGGACTATGTCTTATTTTCCTATATGTTTCGGAAGAACATGCAAGTACGGAGTGGCCAGAAAGTAAGAAGGTGACCCTCTATTCTGAGGGCACAAAACCCCACAATCACATCCCTTTTCGGGTCTGGCTAGAACTCTACCACTCAGAGGCCTAAGCATTTCAACTTGCCCAGGGTCTTATCGCTGCAGCTACCTTTCCTTTTCTTGGCCAGTGTTGCCTCCACAGGTAAAGGCCCAACCCAGCGCTCTTCGTTGTCCTCATCATTCTCTTGAGCCACCACCACTGTCAGCTCCCTTCCGCTGAGTTCCGTGTTTTCCGGTTTCTCGTGGTCCCGGCGCCGTCTCCTTTTCAGCTGTGAATCGCTACCACCTTCCGCCGCCATATTGTACGAGTCGTCAGTATAGGCGCGACACTCGCAGCTCCGCTACCAATCTCAAAGCAGCGGCGCAGCCTTTTCGTCAGAGGCCGAGAGAGTTTCTGGATTGGCTGGAGCAGGTAGCGGCAGCTCCAATCAGAAAGCAGCGCGCGCACAAGTCCTGGGCCTGGCAACGCTGAACTTCCAAGGCTGAGGAGACCTGGAGTCGGTGCTTTGTCACGGTAAGAGTTGGGTGGGGAGGAGTGTGGTAACGGTTCAAACTTGCCGCTGGGGCAGGCAGCTCACAGGGTATGCGATTTCAGCACCGAAGGTTGGACCCTTACTGTCGGGGAACTGGATACCTAACGTCCAGCCGAGTCTTGAATCCCGCTGTTGTCGGGCTCCCGCGTCAACTACAACTCCAGAACCCCGCCGGTTACAAGAGAAAGAGGTGTGGGGAATTGAAGGGGCTGGCTAACTTGCGGACCTCCCATCAAGTGCTCCAAATATTCCTTCTCTCCCGAGCTCTTTTATTGTCGTACCCTCCCTGAAGAAGGTGATGGGTACTTGTTACTGTTTCCGGAGAGAAAACCAGCCACCTCAAGGTTTAACCTAACGTGGACCACAGAAGGTCCATTTACCCTTCTGCATTCTCCCTCGTCTAGGCTTTCGTCTCTTCGTGGCCTTAAGAACTTAAGGTCTCTCTCTCTCTCTTTAAATAGACTTATTTTTTAGAGCAGTTTTAGGTTTAAAGAAAAATTGTAGAAAGTACAGAGTTCCCATATACCTCCCTTTCCCCCTGCACACTATTTCTTCTATTATTAACATCTTGCATTCCTATGGTATGTTTGTTTTAATTGATTAAATAATATTGATACATTATTATTAACTAAGGAGTCCCTGGGTGGTGCAAATGCTTAACATGGCTACACCTCTAAAGGTTGGAGGTTTGACTCCACCCAGAGTTACCTCTGAAGAAAGGTCTAGCGAGCTACTTATGAAAAATCAGCCTCTGAAAATTCTATGAAGCACCAGTTCTACTCTGACACACATGGGGTCGCCATAAGTCGGAATTGATTCAGTAGCAACTAGTTAGCTTGGCTGGTTAAAATTAAAGTCCATTGTATACATTACAGTTCATTCTTTGTGTTGCACAGTCTGGATTTTGACAAACGCATAATGTCATGTGTCCACTATTACAGTATCATATGGAATAGTTTCCCTGTCCTAAAAATGCCTTTGGTGGCACTGTGGTTAAGAGCCATGGCGAGCTACAGCTGCTAACCAAAAGGCTGGCATTTGGAATCCACCAGCAGCTCCTTGGAAACCTTATGGGGTAATTCTTCTCTGTCCTGTGGGGTCGCTATGAGTTGGAATCGACTCAATGGGAACGGGTTTTTTTAAAAATACTTTTGCCTTTTCCAAAATGTAATACAGTTGGCATCATACTGTATGTATTTTTTCAGACTGGAGACGTGGAGGAGCCTTAAATGTGTATTACTAAGTGATAAAAACCAGTCAGAGATTTATCTGATTTGAAATGCACACCCGCAAGGCTTTTGAGTATACTTTTGAAACCAGTGTTTTAGGGAGATTATTTTGACAAATTGTATTCAATGGGTAAAAAAGAAGAGAGCCCAAAACACATGTCTGATAAAGGACTTGTATCCAAAATATACGAAGAACTCAAAACTCAACAACAAGAAAACAACAATCCAATTACAAAGTGGGCAAAAGATCTGGACAGACAGCTTACCAAAGAAGATATACAGATGACAGATAAGCACATGAAAAGATGTTTAACATCATGTCATTTCCAGTTGCTGTCAAGTTGATTCTGATTCATGGTGACCCCACGTATGTCATAGTAGAACTGTGCTCCATAGGATTTTCAATGGCTGATTTTTTTGAAAGTAGATCGCCAGACCTTTCTTCAGGTGCACCTCTGGGTGGGCTTGAACTTCCAACCTTTCGGTTAGCAGCTGAGCAAATTAACTGTTTGCACCATCCAAGGACTTTTCATATGTCATGGAATTGCAAATTAAAACAATGAGATATCACTGCACACCTATTAGAATAGCTAAAATCCAAAACAGTGACAACACCACATGCTGGCGAGGATTTGGAGCAACAGGAACATTCATCATTGGTGAGAATATACTTTGGAAGACACTGTGGCAGTTTCTTACAAAACTAAACATGGGCTTACCATATGATCCAGCAACTGCACCCCTAGGTATTTACCCAAATGAGTTAGAAAAAAAGTATGTTCACCAAAAAAACTGCACACGAATGTTTAGAGCAGCTTTATTCATAATTGCCAAAATTTGGAAGCAAACAAGTTGTACTTCAATAGGTGAATGGATAAACTGTGGTACATCCATACAATGGAGTTATTCAGCAATAAAAAGAAATGAGCTATCAAGCACTTTTCAGTCAGGTTCTACAATTTACTGCTTTGTAGCATGTCTAACTACCTGAAATCATATCATGTATTTAGTTGTCTATTTAGTTGTCTATTTATTTTGTTTGTCCTAGGGGAGAATGTAAGTGTCTTGAAGATGAAATTTTTTCATGTACACAGTTACAGCTACACAAAAAAAAAAACCAAACCGGTTGCTGCTGAGTCGATTCCGACTCATAGCGACCCTATAGGACAGAGTAGAACTGCCCCATAGGGTTTCCAAGGAGTGCCTGGTGGATTCAAACTGCCATCCTTTTGGTTAACAGCTGTAGCTCTTAACTACTATGCCAACAGGGTTTCCAGTTATAGCTATAGGGTCCGACAAATAGCACATATTAAGAACATATTCGTTGAATAAATGAATACAACTTAATGGGTACTTCCCATTGCTTTATTTCATGTATATTAATCTTCTTTTCCCAATTAAGAGTATGAGTTTCTTTAAGTTGGTATTAGATCTTTTAACGTTATATGGCATAGAATCCCTAAATATGGTGATATTCTTATCCTTCAGTAAATGATTGATTGACAATTGGAGTACTAACTGGTGACTTCAAGAGGTTGACTTGTTCTTCAACAAAAATGGGCTTAAGAATGCAGAATATGGGAAAGGGACCAAATTAAACTATTAAACATTTTTATTTATTTGTAGTCTAATGCTACATTGAATCCTGCTGATTTGCTGAGTCTCTATGTATGTGTGTGAATGCACGTGTATGTGTGTACACGTATACATATACACACACTCAGTTTCACATATTTGCATACTGATCATGTATTTTAGTGGTCTGTATTCTACAGAGTAGGGAAAGATCAATTTGTACGTAATTTTTGAGTTAAGGAATATTTACAAAAGAAACATTTAGCTTATTAAAATATTCTAAAATTTTTAATGAGTGATTATGGATTTGCAAACTTAAACTACATCTTATGGGTGTAGCATAGGAGCCCTGGTGTGCAGTCATTAAGCTACTAACTGAAAGGTCAGCAGTTTGAACCCACCAGCTGCTCCATGTGACAGTCTGCTTCTGTAAAGATTTACAGCCTTGGAAACCCTGTGGGGCAGTTCTGCTCTGTCGTACAGGGTTGCTATGAGTCAGAATTGACTCAACGGCAGTGAATTTGGTTTTTTGGGTTTATGGGTATAGCAGGAAAGATGTTTATAGCTTAAACATTTTTATGGGTATGATATGAGCTATTTAACCAATCTTCTACAAGTTGATATTCAGAATGTGAATAGTAAAATTAATAGCCAACCCTAATATAACTCTTTATATGCTAGGCACAGTTCTAAGAGCTTTACATATATTAACTCATTTAATTGTTTTAACAACCCTATGAAATAAGTAATATTATTATCTTCATTTTCCAAAAAACCAAAAACCAGTTGCCGTCAAGTCAATTCCTACTCTGGTGACCCCATGCATTGCAGAGTAAAACTGTACTTCATAGGGTTTTCAAGGCTATGACCTTTTTGGAAGCAGTTCTCCAGGCCTGCCTTCTAAGGTAGCTCTAGGTAGGTTTGAACTGCCAGCCTTTAGGTTAATAGTCATGTGCTTTAACCCCTGTGCCAGGGATTCCATCCTCATTTTACAGATAAGGAAACTGAGACTCAGAAGGGTTAGTAACTTGCCCAAGGTCCCACAGCTTGTAAGTAATGAAAACCTGTTGCTGCTGAGTTGATTCCAACTCACAGTGACCCAGTTGACCCTATAGGACAGAGTAGAAATGCCTTATAGCGTTTCCAAGGCTGTAATCTTTATGGAAGCCGATTGCTACATTTTTCTCCCACAGAGCAGCTGGTGGGTTAGCAGCTGAACACTTAACCACACCACCAGGGCTCCTTGTAAGTAATGAAGCCGGATTTAAACCTACACAGTCTGGTTGCAGAGTTCATACTCTTAAAATTTCTTATAGATAATGCTGCAGTAAGCATACATGTATATATTTATGCAAGTATATCTATCTGTAGCATAGTTCATACGAGTAGACTGTCTGGGTGAAAAGATATGCCTTTAAAATTTTGGTAGATGTTGCCTATTCTCTTACAAAGAGATTGATTCACCAGCAGTGCATGCCTCTTGTTCCATAATTTGTCAATATTATTTATTATCAAATGTTTCATTATTGCCAGTCTGAGTGAAAAATAACTCTTACTAATTTTTATTTCCATAAATAATGAGTGAATTTGAGAATGCATTTTTTTCATTTAAAAGGCATTTGTAATTTATTTTTTAAATTCCTCATTTGTGTCCTTTGCCCATTTTTTGTTGAGTCCTTGTAAATACAGGGGTTTATCTCATCTACGGCTAGCAGGTGTTAGGTGCAGTTTCATAGATATTTAAAGCAGGCGGCCTCTAAGTGGCTAAAAATCTGCTTATTTGAGGTATTTTTAAAACAATTGGATGTGTACAAATTTGAGTTTAGTGCCAATGGGCTTTTTTGGTCTAATGGGCCTCAGCTTGCTCTGAAGAAGTAAACGACTTGGGACCGATATATAGAGGTATATAGAGACCATGTTTAGCTCATTTATATAACAGGTACCAGTCATATTGCGTTAGGGCCCACCCTACGTCAATATGACCTCATATTTCCAAATAAGGTCACATTCACAGGTATTGGAGGTTAGGACTTCAACATATATTTTTGGGGGACACAATTCAACCCATAACACCTTTCCATTAAAGCGGATGACTATCCTATTACAGTGGATGAGCTGAATATACACTTATCTTAAGGCGACTCCTCTACTTGTGCACTAGATCCCATTCTTTCTTC